ATTCTGCTTGTTGCTTCTGAGTGAATATTAGCTATCCCTTCAGGTATCTTTTTGTAGTTTTCTTTGCTTTTTACTAGCACTTTTACATGGTGTGAACAGTATCTGTCTCCCATTCTTTCCATCATTTTTAAGTACCTTCATTAGGTTGCTTTAAAACCCTTTTTGTCTTCAATAAGAATCTAATTATGGCTCCCTAAAGGCTGTGGTTGTCCAAAGGAGTCTAAAGTATTCAGTAATCAAAAACCCAAAGTACTCCAGTGAGTGCTATCTCGTTCCCTAATTCACTCAGCTTCCCTTTAATGCTAACTCTATTTTTCATGGTAAAATAGGTGAAACTTTGCCACCACAAGAACCAGGTGGCAACACTCCTACTGGCCTGGATCTGGTAGAAATGGGAGCAGACAGGGTCTTGCCCTGGTTCTGCCTGCTTGCAGTTGTGTGAGGCTCCAGCCCCAGCCCCCATAAAAGGAGCGAGCGCAGCACAGGATGGGACAGCAGCAGGAATAGGGAGAGGTTGGCCTCACCACACAAACTTCACTGTCCTTTCTCAACATGGGTGAAGAGGAGACAGTGACCAGCTGGCACAGCCCCTAAGGCACCCGAAAGCCAAAGAGCTCACCCAGAAGGCATATCTGCCTCCAAAGCAGCGGATGGAAGTGGTTTCAGGAAGTGCACCCCAGTAATTCACTATCTGCCCTCCCTAGAGCAGGAAGAGAGGACTGCTACCCAAGGGATCTGTGGGCCACCAAAACTTAGGAAGCTGGTGAGTCAGACCATTGATCCATCTATTGGTATTGTCTACCCTGACTGGCAAGGGACGCAGGTGGCGCTGTGGGTTAAACCACAGAGCCTAGGGCTTGCCGATCAGAAGGCCAGTGGTTCGAATCCCCATGACAGGGTGAGCTCCCGTTGCTCGGTCCCTGCTCCTGCCAACCTAGCAGTTCGAAAGCACATCAAAGTGCAAGTAGATAAATAGGTACTGCTCCAACGAGAAGGTAAACGGTGTTTCTGTGCGCTGCTCTGGTTCACCAGAAGCGGCTTAGTCATGCTGGCCACATGACCCGGAAGCTGTACACCGGCTCCCTCGGCCAATAAAGCGAGATGAGGGCCCCAACCTCAGAGTCGGTTACGACTGGACCTAATGGTCAGGGGTCCCTTTACCTTTACCCTGACTGGCAGCAGCTCTGAAGGATTTTAGACAGTGGTCTCTCTCTCACCCCGGCCTGGATATGACAGCCTTGAATATGGGATCTTCTGTATACAAAATGATACTCTCCTTGCCATCAGTATTGTGGGCCCAATCTTGTGGAATTCCCTCCTGGCTGAAATTAGGCAGGCCCACTCCTTGTGGACCTTTTATTTTTCAACTGGAGTTCCTGCAGCAGGCAGAGGACTCTGGACACCATCTCCTGATTCCATGATGGTGTCATTGGCAGCTGAAGCATTTTAAGATAGTTTTCTGTTTCTGTGTTTCATTTTAATTCATCTCATTCATTTTAGCCTTTGGAAATATGGGAATAATTATTGCAGAAATAGTGGCATTCGTGGTGCTTAGCATTACATCAAGGAATATAGTATCCAAACTAAAATAAAAGTCTGTCATTCTCTTTGCCTTGATTTGTCCACCAATGGCACTGAATATTTGTTTTGCAATCCTGAGACTTCAATCAAAACAAAATAGAGCAGGCTTCTTCAAGCTCGACCCTCCAGATGTTTTTGGTCTACAACTCCCATGATGCCTAGCTAGCAGGACCAGTGGTCAGGGATGATGGGAAGTGTAGTCTCAAAACATCTGGAGGGTCGAGCTTGAGGAAGCCTGAAATAGGGGAATGATTCTATTGCCCTTCATTCACATCTGTCTCCCTACCCTCTCATGTGCGTGCAGCTTAGTGATGTTGTCAAAGTTCAACATCATTTACCTTTGAATATGAGATTTCTCCAGCTTGTAATGCTTGACTGCATTGTGAATTAAGTGCCATTTCTCAAAGAAGTTCTTCTCTTTTTAAAACAAAGAGACAGTTTTTATTGTTCTCCAATAAACAGTAGCTCAGAACACATTGCTTTCCAATAAACAGTAACAAGCAAAGTACAGCCAACTGATGATTATATACAGCATACATGGCATGGCAATATCCATAATATATGCAAGCATGACAGTAGACCCAACATGTTGCTCCCTGCTGGTTTTGGAAGGAAGTAACTTCAAAGTTCCACAAAGGACATCATGGCTCCATGAGCCTGTGCTAATTTAAAATGCCAAAGGAAAGCAAATATAACCAAAGCAGCCACATTAGAGAACCTCTACCCTGCTATTTTACCCCCTCAAATAGGGCCAGCTGCTGCACTCTGACTCCCACACTTCCCTCAGGTTCTTGTGCTACCACTTAATTCTAACAATAACATTTTATATAGCAGACCGTCCAAATGTCCCTATATTCCAGGGACGTCCCTGATTTAGAGAAGCCATCTCGGTTTCTGATTTGCTCCCAGAATGTCCCTCTTTTATATTATAATAATAATAATAATAATAATAATAATAATAATAATAATAATTTATTATTTATACCCCACCCATCTGGCTGGGTTTCCCCAGCCACTCTGGGCGGCTTCCAACAGAATATTAAAATATAAGAGTCTATTAAACATCAAAAGCTTCCCTAAACAGGGCTGCCTTCAGATATTTTTTCCTTAGGATGTCCCTATTTTCATTGGAGAAATGTTGGAGGGTGTGGAGTTATCTGACCCTCCCAAGTCGTCTGAAGGCAATCCTGTATAGGGAAGGGTTTTTTTTAATGTGTAATGTTTAATTATTATTTTTATATGTTGGAAGCTGCCCAGAGTGGCAGGGGCAACCCAGTAAGATGTGTGGGATATAAATAGTAAATTATCATTAGGGAATGGGATGTCCCTGTTTTCATCAGAGAAATGTTGGGGGGTATGATATAGAACTGAGGATATTACCTCCAGATTTTTGTCATGGCTTTTAAATATACTTACTCAAGTGGGAAAACCCTGATCTGGATGACTATGATTTGGAATCAGTCACTGTCCCCCTCAGTCTTTCTTCTAATTTCCTTTTGCTCAGAGGTTCTTCTCTACTCAAAAAGGGAGCATCTCAGCATTTGTAGGAACCACAGATCTTGGTATCTGGGACATTGTCATGCTCAGGAGAGTCCCTGATGCCAAGAACACTATAACACATAGCTTCCATGGAACATGACATGTGTACTCAGGCACTATGGAAAGCTATATTTCCCATGAAGCCTAGTTCCTGGGACATTGATGTTTCCGAGTTCCATTCACCAGCAATGATAGACATACAGAGGCAATTTCTAGTGATGCTTCTGTCATCTGGTAAATTCTGAAGGGAATGGAGTAGAAAGTTCACAGGGGAAAGGAGTTGGTGACTAATGAGTCCTGGTACTGTGGACCACAGGATGGGGACAGATATTTGGTCCATGTTATGTTCCTGATTATATCACCGGGAGTATGGCAGTGAAATAAATCTCAAACTTTGGCTTGTTAAAAAAATCAGCCTAGTTCTGCTTCAAACTGAAAGGAGTTCGATCATCACCAGCAGTAGACTGCATGTGTTTTCTTCTGTGGCCCAATTCACCCTGTTGACAATGACAGCTATATAAGGACCAGAAAGTTGTGATTGTGGGAAAGCTTCACATACGTGATAATGCTTATAAGGAACTGTCTGGGTCAACACTTAAATTTCTATCTTCTGAATAGCAGAAATATGCCATGTTTATGAGGATCAGTACCCGAAAAGCAAATCATAGAAGCTACATATATCAAACATTTTTTACTGAAACTCCTACCTACAGCAGGTGGCAGGAAGATTTGCTTGCCATTAGTGACCAGTCCTGCACCATGTTCACGCAAACATTATATATATAATGTAAAGTATGGACACAGTAATCATCTCATTCTATGCAGCAGAGACTTCCAACATGCTGAGCATTCTCAGTGCTGCACAAATGAACATGTCATTTTAGGCAATGAAGTTAGGAATCGAGAATGCCCATTGGAACTACATGCTCAGGAAATGGTGCCTTATCTCTGCCCCACAGCATCGTTCTCTGGCAAATACAAGATCGTTGTATCCAGCAAGCAAAGGCCCGCTGTGTATCTCCCCAAGCCATGGCAAAAGTCCTGAAAGCTTTGCAACTGGGGAGCAGTTTCATCTGCTAATACTTCTGCTTTGGAGGCCAAATGAAACCAGTACTGCCTGTGGCCTATGTAATCCCCAGCCATTCATTCCACATTGCTCTCTACAAATGAGATGTCATGAGCTGTGTAAGGATTTCTGATTCCAAAGGATAGCTTGCTTTGCCTATCTATTTTGAAAGCTGCATATTTTGTTAACACATCTATTTTTTAAACAAAATATTAAAATACTTTTATTTGAAAAGTAAGGGTGAGTTCTCATTCTAACATCATCTTAATATTTAGGTTGATTTTGCCAGTTATACATTTTACTGACCTGCTCCTACCAATTAAATATAAGCTCCTTGATCCACAGTTGTTGGTTGGCTTTTGAGCAAATATGAAGTGCCAGAAAACATGTTCTCTCCATCCCACCCTTTATATTAGAATGTGTTTACAACAAGACACTAACTTAGCAAAGTAAACCTCCACATTTAGCAGGATTGAACTAAGTGAAAATAAATATTTTGACATGCGGGCACTGCATTGCCACAAAATAAAGATCCTGAGTAGATGTGATTTATATCTGTTTAAAGAAATCCTTGTGGTTTCAGTTATTTTTGAAGTGTAAATAGGAACAAACAGAAATCAAAAGCATTTCAAAGTCATAGAAACTCATTCTCGTTCCTGAAAATGAACTGGAACAAGCATATCTACATTCCTCTCATTTTTTGCATTGCATCTAAATATAGGCATTATGCATTGCTTGGTGTTGTAAAAGTCGATCCATTAATCACCATGGCCACAATCAAGGAAGCCTAAGCGATTCCATTCCTTTCAACAGATGTCATTCAAGAACACCTAGAAGTGTACTGCTTTTAAAATTTTGAATGCCTTTCCAGAGGACAATTCAAGCTCTTGTACAGAATATTCCTCACTTGAATTGCCATTTCATCTCCATCTTACAATAAAAAGATGGGGAAATCTACTGAATCACCTTGACTGTAGGTAAGTCAGAAGGCCGTTTCAGGAGTGGCATCTGTGTGTAAACTGAATGTGTGGCTGTGCTCCAATGCACTTGCACTATCTAGCTCAATGTGAACTTTGCAAATTAGCAGAAAGAAACCTGGCATTCTCCAAGGTTCAAAGTCACTTAGAGAGTAGAGAGATTGGAATTGCGTGGGGTGAGAATGCATGATGAGAGCTTACATCCCACAGATAAAGAAGCTCCACAACCTCCTATGGCTAGTAAAGTCTGGTCCTTTAGGGTGAAGCAATACTGTACCAACCTCAGCCTGCTCTCACTGGCCTCACTTTTTACTTACAACCTGATGGTCTACTTGCCCTACTAGTCCCAATAGAAACCAGCCACCATTGCCTAAGGTTATAGATAGATGTTGTTCTTGCATGTATAACATACTGCTATTGTTTACAGCATCTTAAAAAGCAGAGACATCACCTTGCTGACAAAGGTTCGTATAGTTAAAACTATGGTTTTCCCAGTAGTGATGTATGGAAGTGAGAGCTGGACTATAAAGAAGGCTGATCGCCGAAGAATTGATGCTTTTGAATTATGGTGCTGGAGGAGACTCTTGAGAGTCCCATGGACTGCAAGAAGATCAAACCTATCCATTCTGAAGGAAATCAGCCCTGAGTGCTCACTGGAAGGACAGATAGTGAAGCTGAGGCTTCAATACTTTGGCCACCTCATGAGAAGAGAAGACTCCCTGGAAAAGACCCTGATGTTGGGAAAGATGGAGGGCACAAGGAGAAGGGGATGACAGAGGAAGAGATGGTTGGACAGTGTTCTCGAAGTTACCAGCATGAGTTTGACCAAACTGCGGGAGGCAGTGGAAGACAGGAGTGCCTGGCGTGCTCTGGTCCATGGGGTCATGAAGAGTCGGACACGACTAAACAACAACAAAATTGTTTACATGGCCAGTTAATCCAAGGATATAAGATAGGAGAGTCAAGAATCCCTGATCTCTCTAGAAGTTATATCCTCCAGCACCACCCCATTCACTTAAATGACTCTTTATTCTCTTGAACTTTTAAGCAAATCAGGGATCAGGCTGAGTCCAATTATTGTTATCACACGATAACTGACAAGTTCTAGGACTCCAGCCAGTTTGGCATTTGGTGTCAGATAGACCTATACTTGTGCATAAATAAACATCTCTTTCTCTCCCCCCCCTCACCCTCTTACAAGGTAGGGAAATAATCTTAATCCTTGTTTTCTATCAGCCTACCAACATAAAACCATTGAATAATAGAATTGTAGAGTTTGAAGGGACCTGAGGGTCATCTAGTCCAACCCCCTGCGATGCAGGGATCTCAACTAGATCATACATGATAAATGGTCATCCAACATCTGCTTTAAAACATCCATGGAAGGAAAGTCCACCATGGGAGTCTGTTCCACTGTCAAACAACTCTTACTGTCAGAAAGCTCTCCCCGGTGTTTAGTCAGAATCTCTGTTCTTGTAACTTGAAGCCATGGGTACTGGTCCTCCAGAGCAGGAGAAAACAATCTTGCTCCATTCTCCATGTGACAGCCATGGGTCTGTACAGAGTAATAATGAAATGGCATAAAGGTGACTTCAGAAATAAAATGCATGAGCTCTGAAATAGAACTCGGAAGGCATAACAAGAGACAAGCAAGGAAGGGGGTCTGATTTTCTTGATGGTCTCAGAAACTGCTCAGAAACTACCCCTTCTGGCCAGATCAGATCTCTGCTTAAAAAGAAAAAAGAGCTCTTAGGCTTTCAAGTGGCAGTCTGCCAAATATTCATGATAAGCTTGTATTGCTCATTGCTTGAGCAGCCAAACAATGACCTGCATTGTTCCCATATCAACCAGGGAGTGGCTCCCCAGACATTTTTTTTAAAGAAAAACCCCAAAGTATTTTAAGAACAGAAAACAGGACCCAATTAGGGTTGCTTTGACTAAGCTAGCCAAAAGGCATATCTACACTAAAAATGGGGTCAATAATGAGATCTCATGTTCCCCTCCAAAACAGAGATGAAGAGACTGACTATTTTCTCATCTGCTGCCAGGCTGAATTTTTATCTCTGGCACTTTTCAGGCAAGACCAGAAGAAAAACAAAATATACGCAAATAGCCCCCACCTTTATTTTGGACTTTTGCATTAATTGCTGTAAAGCAGCTAGATTTAAAAGTGTCTCAGTTCACTAGACAGCACAGCAAAACATTTATAACAGAGTTGGTCTGCAATTCTATGCTCCATCTCGAAAGAATGTGATCACAATAAACCTTTTATTAAGCTTTGTGGTAACCTAGGAAAAACGCAGGCCTCTCTGTGCAGCTCATGGGTTTATTGCCACGCCTCACATCCCTCCCTAAACCTGTCCTTGTCAAGTCCTTGACTGGATAGAGGAAAGACACCCTAAGACCTCCTCATGAAGGGAAGCAGCAGCAGCTTTGACTTTTGCATGGCTGAAATGCAGTCTACTAAAAGGACCCCTGACAGTTAAGACCAGTCGCGAACGACTCTGGGGTTGCGGTGCTCATCTCACTTTACTGGCTGAGGGAGCCAATGTTTGTCTGCAGACAGTTTTTCTGGGTCATGTGGCCAGCATGACTAAGATGCTTCTGGTGAAACCAGAGCAGTGCACAGAAATACCGGAGCGGTACCTATTTATCTACTTGCATTTTGACGTGCTTTTGAACTGCTAGGTTGGCAGGAGCTGGGACTGAACAATGGGAGCTCACCCAGTCACAGGGATTCGAACCACCGATCTTCTAATCAGCAAGCCCTAGGCTCAGTGGTTTACACCACAACGTCACCCTACGTCCCCATGCAATCTACTATATAGTGTAAAAGTCACACCAGCTCTTCCACCCATTTTACCTTTGACACTGCCCCCTGCTGGCATGTGACCCCTGGAAGGATGCCCATGAGGGAACGCAGCCGTTGCGTTGAAAAGTTCTCCACCCAAGTTTTAAGTACTTCAGGGGGGTTCAATTTTGGAGCTGAATTTAAACCCTCCCCTTTCTTTTCATATTGAATTGAACTCAGGCCCAACTGGTGCCCCCCACCATGACCACCTATGAAAGCTGTGCTTCATCTCAAATCCTTAACACATTTGGCAAACTCAGAATGAGGAAAACAAATTATCCTGGAACCACATTATTGAGCCAACTGTAGCTGTCCAGGAAAAGTCCTTCCCAGTCCTATAAAAATAGAATCATTTAGTTCAATGGGTAGGAACAGTAAGATGTCTGAAAGGCCAGTCCACTGTAACTTGATAAAAGACCAGAAGAGTGCTGTCCTGCCATCCCACCCATTGGCCAGTTCAAGCAACTAGCAATAAAAAGGGCCAATTGGATATGATAGTGTAGGGGTTGAAATTCATCCCAAAGCATCTCCTTGGTCTGACTCTTCAACTCTGCCCTAGGAGATGTGCCAGTCCTTGCGCATCTGCTCACCACCAGTCTGTGTGATGGCACTGGAGAGACAAATTAACCCAACTAATGCAACATCTCTGGAGCTCATTCACAGTCGTTAAATAAGAGTTCTTATTAAAGACCAGACCCTGGAGCTAGAGTCTGAATGTCTAGTCTCACTCTCATAAATGCAAGCAATGCCAAACTTGCTCAAACTGAAGGACTGTGAGTTTCTAGACATTTTTTTAAAGAAGAATTCTGAGTAATACAAGCTGCCTGTCTTGGCGATAAGAGAAGGGTTATTGTCCCACAAGCCAACTTCATCTAGAACTTGAGATCTTTTTCCTGAGGGGGAAGGGAAGAAATTGTTGTGTTCTGGGTAGGGATGTAGAAGAAATTTAGTTTACATTTAAAGGAGAAGCCACATCCGTTACATCCCCCCTCCCTGCAGCTGTTCTCCAACGGCAACATGGTCACCCTTGGAAATTCGCACTTCTCTGAATTTTGCAATGCATTTCTCCAGGCAAGTGTTGTGATCAAGGATGCATATACTAGGGTAAGGTGCACACTAAAAAGCATATATTGATGAAAATATACAAACATACAGGGGAAAGTGTGAGTTAGGCAAAAGTGCGTACAAGAATGTGTTAAAAATGTGTGCACTAAACTGCTGATGATGTGAATTGTGAATAACTGGAATTAAGCCTTGGGGACATGGGGAGCAGGGGCGGAATTGACAAATTTGCCCATCCCTAGCTGGGCCTTGGTTGCTTGCCTGCTGCTGCTCCCCCTCCTTCCTCTTTCCTGCCACCTATACTCTTTTGCATGATAGTAATGAGATGTACTATTTAGTGCTGCCACTGTCTATGTGACATATTTTTGAAACAAACAAACAAACAAAAATCCTTCCAGTAGCACCTTAGAGACCAATTAAGTTTGTTATTGGTATGAACTTTCATGTGCATGCACACTTCTTCAGATACCTATCTGAAGAAGTGTGCATGCACACGAAAGCTCATACCAATAACAAACTTAGTTGGTCTCTAAGGTGCTACTGGAAGGATTTTTTATTTTTATTTTGTTTTGACTACAGCAGACCAACACGGCTACCTACCTATAACTATATTTTTGAAAGCAAGAGAGAGGAAGCATATTCTACAAACAGGAAATATACCTTTGTGGTTATTTCTTATTGTGTTTCTTATTTATAATTTCGCCTTATTAGGGCTCCTAGCTTATCATTCCATTGAAGGATGTACAGCAAATGATACGATCAGTAAGAATACAGCTAAGATGCTTCAGAAGAACTATTTCCTCTCAAAATCTGAATAAAGATTCTAAATTTCCAGTGTGGATAAAAATGAGGGGAGAAGAAGCATTCTTAGATCATTCTACATCTTTTTTGTGCATCCCCCTCTTACTTACTTTCCTGTCTTCAAATCATGCTCAAGGTGACTCATACGAATATTATCAAAATATTTTCTGTTTCAATTTTGACTCCTTCTTACTCCCCAGTTTTGATCAATTACTCAATTTCCAAGAAAGGGTTAGATGAGAGCTTTCCAAGAGAAACTCCCAGAAAAAAAAGATACTACCCAGATTTACCAAAACACATCTGAAGGTAGGTGAATTATTATTGAATTGTTATCATTCCACAATGGTACTCTACAAAGCTATTTGATGGAATATTTACTTTTTTAAAAAATGGACAGTTATTTGGCAGAGTGGGCTTCTACATCTGAACATGCTCAGTCTCACACTTGCCCATAGTTAGGAACATAAGAAGAGCTCTGCTGGATCAGACCAAAGACCTATCTTGCCCGGCATTCTGTTCTCACAGTGGCCAACAAGAAGTATATGGGAAGCCTTCAAGCAAGTTGCATTGAGGAAAGTTCACATGCTTGTTGTACTGTGTTCTGCTGATGGAATTCTAGAGATGGTGGTGGCTCCAGCAAATGTGGCAGTTTCACATTACAAGGAATATGCATGTGGGGATGTGTAAAACAGGGGATGCTCATACATAGGGCATCTAATGCCACCATTTCATGTCTAAGGATGGACATATCTATTTCCAAACCATGCAACTTCTTTCCCAGGCTAGGAAGCCCTGTGGCTCTGTCTAATTCTGGTGAACCTCTTCTCTGCTCTCCCAACTGTCCACATAGCAGCAGTCATTTTTTCAGGCTGCAGCAAAGGGAATCAGGGGCACTCTGGGATCTGCTGAAAGGCCAGCTTCTTTTCCTGAATGGTTTCCATTCCAGTTGGTCATAAGGATTACTAAGGAACCTTAAGAATTGTTGTCTGAGTTTTCCAGCTTTCCTCTTCCTTCCTCATCCCTTTATCCTTTTGTATCATTTCTTTTAGAAGACGATCCTGAAGGAAGAGACTGTCTTATTTTTTACTGATTGTTTCTGAGCTGCTCTGGGAGCCTTTTCGCCTGAAGAGCAAAGTAAAAACACTTCAAATAAATAATAAATATAAATTAATATTTCAGTGTGTTCTGTGTTCTTCAAGTATTATATCTTGGGGAGACGTTAAAAAAAATTCACCCCCTTGAGCTTCTCATCAACTGCTTACTCAATTACACCTTCAATTATTCATATTCTTGTTTTGGATACAAAAGTATCTGCAAGATCAACACAAGATTGTTTATTATATTCTTCTTTACCCCTTCCTTGCATATTTAATTGCTGTCACTCTAAGGGATCATGTGTGCTTCTCAGAAGATTCTCAGCTATGACAAGAATACTTGTTTCTCATTTACAATAAATTGTGTTTGAAAGGGAGCGGAGAAAAGGATAGAGCATTGCTATTTTATCTTAATTATTCACCTTTCCACAAATCACTCACAAGACCTGTTTCGTTCGGCATAACTGTTTAGTCGCTTAAGGACGCTGAAAGTTGTTAGGAGAACCCCTCACCAAGTTACCATTCCCAGCAACGTCAACAGATTGTAGTTCCCAGGATTTGGGGGGGGGGAGAGACATGACTGTAAAAGTGTTATAAGAGTGCTTTAGATGGTGTGGATGCAACCAAAGCCAGCTTTCTCCAACATGGTGCACTCTAAATGTTTTAGACTGCAGTGGCCACTACTTCCAGCCAGCATGGCCAATTGTTAGGCATCATGGGAGTTGTAGTCCAGCAATACTTAGAGGGTACTAGATTGGGTAACAATGAATAAAATGGTGGACTGGCAAAAGCCATTACAATTCTCAGACATACCGTATTTTTTGCTCTATAAGACTCACTTTTTCCCTCCTAAAAAGTAAGGGGAAATGTGTGTGCATCTTATGGAGTGAATGAAGGCTGCGCAGCTATCCCAGAAGCCAGAAGAGGGATTGCTGCTTTCGCTGCACAGCGATCCCTCTTGTTGTTCTGGCTTCTGAGATTCAGAATATTTTTTTTCTTGTTTTCCTCCTCCAAAAATTAGGTGTGTCTTATGGTCTGGTGCGTCGTATAGAGCAAAAAATATGGTACTTATACTGGGTATTTATTGGAGATTCCAAGAAATCAGTGCAGTTTTGAAATCAGTGGTTAAAATGAGTGCAGATTTGGGAGCTGAAAACTTCCTCCTTGATCTCAGGCATCATTAAGCAAAATATGGTTACACTAAGTTAAGAAGGTATCCAAATGCATAGCGAACATGTAAGTTCCCAAAATATATTGTAGTTATAATGCAATGTTCATGCTTTCTTTTAAGTATCGGAAGAGGAGCATTAGTGTTAATTTCTTGATTTTGTATCAGTTTCTACAGTTACTGCACTGCACTGATGTTTTGTTGGTTTCCTGCTGGTTTATAATTCTGAAAGTGATAACATATGCTCCTATTGCCACTTTTTCCAGTTAGCAAGTACCATTCACCCTACAGTAAATGCTTGCACTAGTTGAATATATTCTTTTAATATCTTCACGGTGATTCAGACCTAAGTTAAGGGCCCTTATCTGAACTGTAAATGTTTCAAAAATTGGTTAACGTATTTGAATGTCTTATGTATTATTAAATAAAGCAGAGAAAGGGCTGTGAGTAATATGGGACTAAAATATCTAATTATTTACGAGGCCGATATGGAAGTGCTTATGATTGTGAAACAGTGTCCATCAACTTGGCATTAAGCTGTTGTGGCAAGTGTGTTATAGAAATATTCAGATCCACAATTAGGGCTGGACAGGAGAGAATCTTACCCTCAAACATTAATATCTATCTTTCTCTTATAATGAGAACCTAGCAAAATAAAACACACACTCTATTCCATTAATAAATATGTAGACCCAGTAATGGAGATGCATACAGCCCTTTTAGGATGCTATGAATTCTTGTGTTCAACAGTAAAGTGGGTAAGTGAGGGACCACGTAAAGTCTCCCTGGCCTCCAATGCTGTACACTCCTCCCTAACATGTAGAACATGGATGTCTGTGGGGAGGGGGGCATTATATGTTTGTGCAAAGGCTTCCATGGAATTTGAAACTCCCAAAGTTCAAGTGTTCTTTTTCCTTGGTGTTGTTGAACATAGGATCTCATAATGCCAGAAGGCAATAAGTTTTTCCAGTGATGCTCTCATTCCTAAAGTCTTCTTTTATACTCATAGAGTTAATGATGGCCAAGTTTTACTCTGAAACCCCTGTTCTGTTATGATGGTTTCATTAGTGGCTTATGTTAATAGTAGCTAGAATAAAGTTTGACTTATATAATCACACATAAATTTATGGGGAATATTCACGTAGTGACGTCTTGAGTTTCATGCCCCATTAACTGTCAGCATCGCCCTTGAGCCAGTGCCACCAACTGGACTCATCCACTTCAGCCCTGACTGGGCTAGGCGAGCTGGGTAGCACTTCCAGAGACCACCTTCTGCACAGGAACAGGTCAAAGTGCTGTGGACTCACAGCTTAGAGTTGTGAGCACCGGATTCACTCCCACAAGAAGACAGTCGTCGCACAGCAGAGTACAGCAGAGTCTAGCAGAGTATATAAACAACTCAGAGAGCAGCTCTGTAGAATATCTTCTTTATTCTATAACTACAACTATTATACAACTATATACAGAGCTAAATAGGTCTAAGCATAAATGAATGCTGCACTGCACTGAGTGTCTGCAGCTGCTCTTAGCAGCAACCTTATCTCTACACACGATCTCTAACACTCAGTCTTTCTCTCTCTCTCTCTCTGACACTGACTGACTGACTGACTGGGTGCTGGAGCAGAATAAGTAGAGAGCAGAACACGCCTCCTCCTCTCTGGAGAATCAGCAGACTCCTCAGGAGATTCTTGGATATGGGAGGAGTTAATGATGGCCAAGTTTTACTCTGAAACCCCTGTTCTGTTATGATGCTTTCATTAGTGGCTTATGTTAATAGTAGCTAGAATAAAGTTTGACTTATATATTCACACATAAATTTATGGGGAATATTCACGTAGTGATGTCTTGAGTTTCATGCCCCATTAACTATATTCCTTGTCAATACTGAATAATGATTTTGGCATTTTCATATACATGTCTGTTGTGTAGGAGTAGCAATATGCAAGCATACCCAACAGCTTTACAAAGGGGAAGGTTGAAATTGCAGTTTTGTTCTTGCCTTCTCACTAACTTCAATTTGGCCGCAATGCTGTTTTCATCGCCCTACTTCATCTCTAGACATAAGTGTTTTTACTTGACATTATATAAGATGATAAACCTTTTCCTGCTCTCAAAATTGTCTTCAGCATTCTCCTTTGAAAATATTTGTGTTACAATATTCACTGATAATTAGGTATCTGGGTTCCAAAGACATTTGATTTCAGTTGTTGATATTTGACAATATTTACAGCTGATATGCAGTGAATGGGATTTCATAGTTGACCATATCTGAGGGATGGAAGTTTATGACTGCCAAAATCAAAACTGTCAGCAGATGTCAACAAGTCTAACAAGTGAGGTTCACCATTTTGAGATGAACGTTTCACATTTCACACAGTGAAATAAGCTCTGTGCTCTCAGAGAACAAGCCTGTTCCCTGGTGGCCAAGGTAGTTGACCTGGAGAAAGTGAAAGAGACAAAAATGTCCCATGTGACCTTTCATAATGGTGCCATTCCATTCCCACTGTGACAGTTCCTCCGCTGTCATGGAGAATGAGGGTCTTATGAAAGCTTGAGAAAGTAAAGTGATCTCTTAGAAGAAAACCAGTAGGACCAGGTGCGCAGCCTGGGAGTCATTTTGGACTCAAAGCTGTCCATGGAGGCGCAGGTTAATTCTGTGTCCAGGGCGGCTGTCTACCGGCTCCACCTGGTACGCAGGCTGAGACCCTACCTGCCTGCGGACTGTCTTGCCAGAGTGGTGCATGCTCTGGTTATCTCCTGCTTGGACTACTGCAATGCACTCTACATGGGGCTACCTTTGAAGGTGACCCGGAAACTGCAGTTAATCCAGAATGTGGCAGCTAGACTGGTGACTGTCTCCTCCTCCTCCTCTCTGATTATTTCCCAACTTTCCCCCTCATCTTCCTCTGAGCTGTAATCTCCCTCAAACCCTTCTTGTAATTCTGAACTGTCTTCTTCTTCGTCTCTGGAAGGGTCAGGCTGGGGAGGCAGTTTCCACCATTCCTCCTCTGCCCTCCTCTACCTAGATGATCAGAGGCAGTAATGCTTCTGAATACCAATTGCTGGAAACCACATGAAAGGAAATGTTATCGTGTTACAGAGTGGTGCATGCTCTGTTCATCTCCTGCTTGGACTTCTGCAATGCGCTCTATGTGGGGCTACATTTGAAGGTGACCCAGAAACTACAACTAATCCAGAATGCAGCAGCTAGACTGGTGACTGGGAGTGGCTGCCGAGACCATATAACACCAGTCCTGAAAGACCTACATTGGTTCCCAGTATGTTTCTGGGCACAATTCAAAGTGTTGGTGCTGACCTTTAAAGCCCTAAATGGCCTCGGCCCAGTATACCTGAAGGAGCGTCCCCACCCCTATCGTTCTGCCCGGACACTGAGGTCCAGTGCCGAGGGCCTTTTGGCGGTTCCCTCACTACGAGAAGCCAAGTTACAGGGAGCCAGGCAGAGGGCCTTCTTAGTAGTGGCACCTGCCCTGTGGAACACCCTCCCAACAGATGTCAAAGAAATAAACAACTATCAGACTTTTAGAAAACATTTGAAGGCAGCCCTGGTTAGGGAAGCTTTTAATATTTGATGAATCATTGTATTTTAGTATTCTGCTGTAAGCCACCCAGGGTGGCTGGGGAAACCCAGCCAGATGGGTGGGGTATAAATGTATTATTATTATTATTATTATTATTATTATTATTATTATTATTATTTTACTCAGGTCCCACTTGGGGGCTTCCCACAGGCATGTAGTTGGCCATTGTGAGAACAGGATTGGCCATTGGCCTGCTCCAACAGACACTTCTTATGTTCTTATGTGTTTACACTGTATGGTGACTTGTTGTCTGGTACAAAGATTGTGGATGTCCCCCTTTCTCCCCTTTTCACCATAGGCTGTGCAGGGGAGGCAGG